CATTTCACAAAGAGTGATTTGGTTAAGTTGATAGTTGTTTTGGGTGTTTAATTATTTATGTTGTTACTTTGAGTAATTTGACATGGTTATGGAAAAATTTGTATGTAATTATGGAATATGCTGTGTGTGTTTGGTTTGGAAAGCTAATAGGACTTAGAGGAGTAAGGTTATGGTATGGATTGGGAGATCTCTTGGTGAGATCAGGACATAGTCTTTGGGAAAATATGGAATTTGGGAGTCCCATGGTGAGGATTCCAATATGAAACTTTTCCAAAGATTATATAATAAACAACTTCATATGTTAGGTGGATTCTGAAGTACTCCTCTAAGTATTCTATTTGCTACCGATATGAGGGCAAGACCGAGTCATACCGATGGATGAAGTGGCCAGGATCACCAGGGTTACGTGACGACGTAACCCAACTGTATATTTTCCATGAGAGGTTAGGTGTGTGACATGGGCAGGTGACATGTTCACTAATTCAACACTTGGTTTGGATGTGTTGAGGCCAACATTTGGCTTGGATGTGTTGGCTACTTCATGGGATTATACAGTGGTGTGACGTTCGTATGGATATGGAATATGTATGCATATGGTATGGATTGTATACAATGGCTATGGATTCTTCATTACTATAAAATATGTATGCATTGGTATGTATATGTATACGTTGGATTTTTGGATTTGGTTTATATTGGAATGGAGATAGACATGTAATAATGTTGTCATTCCCTTGGTATGGATAAAAGTTGTTGATGAATATTTGTTTTGATGATATTTCATTTCGTTCTGCTATGGTTGGTTTTATACGTGCTAACCCTTATATTTCCATGATGTGGATTGTGATGATCTCACTATGTGGGGGACCAGATCATGTGTGAGGCTTTGGAATGACAAGGAGTCTTTTGGTAGCTGCTTTGAGAAGTGGCTAGACCTAGAGCTTGACCAGCACCTAGGGGGTCTTATTTTGATGTTTTCATGATGTTGTAATTATATTATTTTTTTGGATGACTGTATAACCTTGCTGAGGATGACTCTTTTATAAAATTATGTTTTATATGATGAAAACAATTTATACATAATTGTATATTTTCACTCTAGTGTAGCTGGCCTTTGCTCTATTTTCTTTTATATTATTTTACTTTAGTTATCATATTGGTTGTTGATGTGACGGCCTAGGGCGGGTCGTTACAACTAAAGTCTAAGCTTATGAGATTGATTTGGCTAATGACTTTGGATTAAGGCAAAAGTTAACATTTCAACTAATGAGTACACTTGCGGGCCATAGAACTAATATTGGATACGCACGCATAGATGTTAAAAATTATCTCAAAGCAAAAAGTCAAAGGAGTATGGTGTATGGTGAAATAAGATGTCTTTTACAATATTTTCAACGGCAATTGTTGGAGAACCCATCTTTTTTCCATGCATACCAAATGATTATAGATGAACAAATCACAAATATATTTTGGGCTGATGCAAATATGATATTGAATTATGGGTATTTTGGTGATGTTGTGTCATTGGATACTACATATTGTACCAATCGTGCAAATAGGCCACTTGCTTTATTTTTCGTTTTCAACCATTATAGAGGTACTGTCATTTTTGGTGCAGCATTATTGTATGATGAAACAATTAAATCATTCAAATGGTTGTTTGAGACATTCTTAGAAGCACACAATCAACAAAAACCTCAAACTATCTTTACTGACCAAGACCAAGCAATGGCTAAGGCACTTTTTGAAGTGATGCCCGAGACTCATCATGGTTTATGTACTTGGCACTTGTTACAAAATGGAATTAAGCACCTTGGTAATTTGATGAAAGGAGGAAGTTATTTTTTAAGAGATTCCAAAAAAATGCATGTATGACCTTGACACTAAAGAAAAGTTTGAGATGGCTTGGAATCGATTGATAACAGACTATAATGTTCATGATAATAATTGGATTAAATCAGTTTATGCTATAAAAGAAAAATGGGCATCATGTTACATGAAGGAAATATTAACACTTGGGATGCGAAGTACTCAACTTAGTGAAAGTTTGAATTCTAATTCCAAGTCTTGCATGAATCCAAATGTGGATATTATCCAATTCTTCAAACACTTTGAACGAGTTGTTGAAGAAAAGAGATATAATGAGTTAACTTATGAGTATGAGTCTTTGCATAAGCTTGCAATGTTGAGATATGATTTGTCACCAATACTCATACAAATGGCAAAAGTATACACTCACATTGTATTTGACTTATTTCAAAATGAGTTTAAACTTTTCTTAGCTTCATGCATATTGGAGAGAAATGAATCCCACTCTTTATGTCAATATGTCATCACTAGGGTCAATCACGAAGGGTCTTGGAGAGTCTCATTTGATCGTGCTTCAAACTCTATAACTTGTAGTTGTAGAAAGTTTGAAACATTTGGCATACTTTGTTCACATGAATTGAAAGTATTTGAAGCAAATGATGTTAAGGTTATTCCTGAGAAACATATTATAAAAAGATGGACAAGAGAAGCCCGCAATGGCATTGTGCATGATGTGAGGTGAAAAGAAGTTGAAGGAGATTCAATATTATCTAGTACAAGGAGATATAAGCAACTTGTATTTAAATTTGTTAGATTGGCTACTGACGTGTCAACATCTGAAGAATATCACAAGATTGTGGATAACAATGTAGATGTCATGTGTAAGGAGATTCAGGAGTTGCGTTTACAAGCCAAAAGTACTGGTAATCACAACAATAATAATCTCATATTTGTGAGTGATGGTGGTAAGCTACCAAAGGGATTCAAACATAAACTTGGCTTAAGGAGAAATAAGCGATTAAAAGGTTGGGTTGAGCTTCAATCCAATAGGAAAAAAAAAACTTCAAGTAAAGAGTCTCAAGTGTGTAAATTGATGTACATATTATTCTTAATATATTTTAGATTTATGAATTCTCACTTGTTTTAATTTTCCATATTGGTTTTAGGATAAAGAATTGAGAAGTCATCAACCCAACATGGTATCTTGTTCAACACCACCAACTTTTAAGCTCCCTTACACATTAGAAAATCAATTTAACTTTACTGAATTTTTGATGGTAATATCATTTGTCTTTATATTTTTTTTTATCTTTCAATTCTTTTGCTTACTTATAAACATGTTAATTAATTTTTGTTATTGTGCAAGAACCTCTTGATGATATAAACAGTCAATCATTACATGACATGTCTCCAATCCTTGATTAAGATTCAATAAAAATAACTTAGTTGACACTGATATTATAATTAGTTGTTACTGTATGTTTGGTGTATTTTGATATCATTGATAAGAGTATTATAATTAATTAGTGTTGTATTTTTCTTGGGTATATTTTGATACCATTAAAGTCAATGTAACCATATAGTTCACTTTTAAGAATTGCTTGAACAATTAACATTGGTGTTGGCCTTGTTGTTGTTATAATGTTAGTAGCAATGTTTTAGCTTAATTCATTTGTAGCTTGATTTTGCAAAATGCTTGTTGCATAATATAAATTAGAATAAATTTTTTCTGCATAATTTATTTGCTCATGAATCTTATAAACATTGTTGGATGCTTAAGTAATTTTTCTGCATATATAACTGTTTGGAGAAATTAGGAGTGACACATTTTTTTGTTTAATTAAGTGTGTATTTAATCAAATACTACTATGTAATCCTCTCAATTGGTGTAATTTTAGATGAATAGTTTTTAGTTGAATTAGGTATGCATAATTTATTTTTTCTACTGATATGATTATTCAATTTTTGGTTCTTTATTTTCATTTTTATTTATATTTTAGATTTGTTATTTTGATAAAAAAAATTTATTTCATTATAATATATACATAAAGTTTTATTTTTATTTATTTATTTATATTATATTAAAATATGAGTTAATTTATTAGGTACTATAAAAAAACAAATGAAAAATAAAAAATTTTAATGTATAATTTTTTATAATTCATTTTAATGTATAATTTTTAAAAAAGACACTGAAACGTTTAATTTGTTATCGTTTACTTTTCTCATATTTGAAATTTGAAAATTTTTGGTTTTGTTTTACGACAGTAAAAGTATAATAAATGTAACAATTCATGTTATTGAATTTCAAGCCAAAAATCACAAATCAAGAGATAAAAATTAAATTAAGAAAAAAAGAAAGAAGAAAAAAGAGTTAAGATCTTCTGAATATGTAAAGTTAACATCTTCTGAATATGTAATAAATGTCATTTATCTTCATATGTTTATTATTTCTGATTACGTGTTAAAATCTTATGTATTTTTATAATCAAACGGCTTAAAATAATTGAAAGTTTTCGTAACTTTCGCGCCACTAAGGTAGAGAATCCGGATCCCATGTGTCTCTGATTAACACATGGAAATAGTTACTATTTGAGTGAGTTCTTTTTGTATATATCTATAGATATAGATGAGATGAAACATGGAGTATGAAATGAAATGAAAAGAAAGTTTCGCACGTACAAATCCATTCAGGACAACCCTTTTAATAGGAGTTTTCTTGTAATTTCATAATTACTGAAAAAAAAAAAAAATTGCTACAGTACCCCTTGGTACCCGTGAACCACATGGTTCGTAAGTCCACCTTAACATTCACCTAAAAGAAGGTGAAAGCCACTTATTCCATTAAAACAAGTGCCTTATTAATCTCTACCGCTATTAATGAAATTTTTATTTATTTATTTATTTATTTTACATTGTCCACAACTATAATAAACGTCCTTGTAATTTTTTTTAATAACTATATGTTTTCATGTTAAGTTTATGAATTTAATAGTAATACACATAAGCTAGATTTACATTGTTATTTATACACATTGAAGATAAGCTTGTTAACTTTTATAATAATTATGATAAATTGTACACAACTTTGGAAATAGTCAAATTGGTATTGTACAAAACCAATGAGATAATTAATTACGTTATGCATCATTCATGAGCACTGTTAACTGGATGTCACAAAAAAGAGGGGACAAAAAGTGAGAAGCGATAGGCAAATTAATTTCAGGTAATGTTGTCCTTCAACATATACAACCCAAAGTGTTAAATCCTAAAGCATTTTCCTTATCCAAATTGGGGGAATAAAACACACAGCTCAGTTAATATCTTGTGGAAAATGGAAAAATCAATCAATAGAAAAATATAAATTACTACTTTATTGTATATGTAAACTATGTAAGTTTTGTTGCATAGCATGTATAATATAACTTGATATAAAAGGCAACTTCCTTGACCTTCAGAGAACCTCAACTGTGGAAACAAGTCCCTTGTTGGCATAGCTAAAGCATTTCCATTTGAAAGGTTTTCCACAGTCGATAGAGCTAAAACATGCTATTTGTATACCCTTGAGATTATATTGCTTATTCAACAAATGTGCTTTGAATTAGAAGGACCTTGGTAGCTTCTCACTGTATTCAACTATGGCTGATGGTGGAAGTAGGCCAGTGCTTATTTCATGCACTGTTGAGAAGAGAGGAAATAACTGTAGCCACCCCCTGTGGCTTAGAACCTCATAAACCTCACTTGCAGTTGAGACACCCTTGGTGCAAGAAAGTTAGATTTATAAGGACATCAAAATTAATAACACAACCATTAGTGTATCATTTTTCTAGTAAAAAGAATATGGTGTTTTGCTTTGTCGTAGGAAGAAATTTCCTTTGACATCAAAGTTTAAAGGCATGTTTTGGTAAATTTCTCTAAAAGTATATACAGAGAAATGAAATAAGTTTCTCCATAAGCTAATTTGTAGAAATTCTTTCCAATTAACTTCTCTAAAATTTTATTTTTAACTCATGCATAAGTTAATTTTATCTTATATCCAAATATGTTCTAATTTGGGTTTGATTGTTTATCAGTAGAATTTTGGATAAAGATAGGGAAGTTCAAAATTTAAGCACAAAGGACCATGTTTAATAATTTCTACTTTGCTAATTTCGTATTTAACAAGTTATATAGTACATATATCATCCAATGGTGCATTTGTGATTGTCTATGAGATTATCTAGTAGTTACTATATAAAGTAAGGACCAGATTAGTTTCCATAAGTATTTATATGAATAGAAAATAAAAAGGTAAAATAAATTGAGCTTTTCCCATCAATCTATGCATTTAATTTTTATAAAAACTCTCTCATCTAACTGCTCCAAAAGTTGAGATGCTTAAATTGATTTTAACTTGGGATAGAAACTCAATTTATTTTATATTTTTATTTTCTTCTATAAATAATTATAAAAATGTTTATTTAAACAGTCTGTATAGCGTATTATTTGTCATACTAGTTTGATCAACATACCTGCAATTTCTGGCCTTGAAGCATCTCTGCTTCAAGTTCATCAAAAGATCTGCAGAAAAGAATGAAATATATAACTAAGTCAAACATTTCCATTTCCTAAGCCTAAAAAAGAGAAAGAAATAGAAACCAACCTCTTCCCTCCATTCTTTGCATAGGCCTCAGCAACTTTCCTGTTTCTTCCACCCACTGCCACATACAATATGGTTTTCATAAGACAAGCTATGAAAAATAGGTTAAGTTAGTTAGCTTCCTTACAGCATGTTGTGATAAGGTCAGCTACACCACAGCTCTCAAAAAAGGTGCTGTCCTTAACAGATGGAAACAGCATCTTTGAAAATGCCTTCATTTCTCTAAGACCAAGTCTCATGATTGCAGCCTACATACATATGTAGAAAACCAAATCAAAGACACAAATATATATATATATATATATGTTGTCTTTCCGAAAACCTTATGATAATAAAATCTTTTAAACTTACTTTTGTATTGTTTCCCATCTCCAGGCCATCAACAAAACCTGTTCCATTCGTGGGTCATTCCTTGATCGTTCACAAAAATACAAAAAGGGAGGATAAAATTGTATATACTGTAGCAAACCTGCTGCTATGGCCACAACATTTTTCAAAGTTCCACATAGTTCAACCCCTTCAACATCCTGAACCTATTTAGTACATAGAATAACAAATTCATAAGCTCAAATATTATCTCAGTGTTTTACAAATTTAAAAGGTTTAATTACGTTGTTGGTCTCTATAATTTCATCAACTTTACTTTATAGTTTTTATACATATCAATTTTGTTTCCTTTTAATTTCTATAGTTATATAAATTTTATCTTAGTCTTTATAGAAATAGACGAAAAAGACTAAAAGTGAACAAAAATAATATATATAAGAACTAAAATGGAACATTTTTAATCATAAAGACCAAAACGTAAATTTCATGAAACTATATGTACCAAAAAGATAATTAAACTAAGTTAAAATTACCCGTTACCATAACATCTTGTCATGAGTCATGATGATATTTCCTTAGTATTAACGATTACATTAGGAACAAATTCCTCAATTTCATTCAGAATTTCATGTGATAAGCTTTTCACCATTTTTGTGGTCATTTACTAAAGAATGTGAGCACTCACAGCTGTCACAATGAAATAGGGAGTATAAAACAACTGAACCCATCTCTCAGCGACTTCCCTGTTGTGCCTGTATCCAACAGTAGCTTCACTAAACTTCTCCACTGCTATCTGCACAAACACTAATAATAATTACAACAACCAAATATAAAATGAGCAAAAAAAAGACTCTAATTTCTTCTAACTACCTCATTTGCTATGTTGGCACCCATCAAAACAGAACAATTGATTCCCAGTTGCTCGGAGATAAGACTAGATATCATGCATGGACCTTCCATCTTGACCTCCATCCCTTTAACAAGGGAAATAGCCTCAGCATCTGCCCTTATTTTCCCAACAAGCCTTTTGCATATTCCTTCCATAAATTGATGTGGAGTCACAAAGACTAACATGTTGGAATCCTTCACTGCATAATTTACCCCCCAAGTAAACAGTGAACATTTTTTAATACTCATGTTGTTTAGTATATATCCTTTTTCTTTATTTAAAAATTTGGTTCTTTTGGTGTGAATTTGTGATTTTTATCTTCTAAACCACACTAAATAATATTAAATACCTGCATTTTCAAGATCTGGATCTGCAACAACATTTTTGCCAAGCTTGATTCCAGGAAGATATTTGACATTTTCCTGCCAAAAGGAATAGTGATGTTCAATTTCATTTTTGGTACAGTCATAACATAATAATGGTAATATTATTTGACATTCTTTTGGAAACTCAATGAAAATGAAAATGTATGGCTAGTCCTTACATTGGTTCGATTGATGACATCTGTGAGCTTCTCACCACTCGGTAATGTCTCCTCATATACCCACATCCTCACTTCTTCTGAATTCAGCAAAATTGGAAATTTCAGAAGCTAAAGGAAAATTTGTTTATTTAATTAGGAAAGTTATGTTTGAGCATACAACCACAAAAGCGTTATCCCTCTTAATATTTTTCATCATAAAGAATCAAATTATGAACATCACTCTACACAAATGCACTAATATGAAATCGAGTAATGCATTAAATTAGTCTATGAAATTAAGAATATCAGGCTATCTAAACTGTAAAATTGTAAGAATGACATTTTTAATCTTTGTAAGTTAGTCCTTAAATCTTTTGAACATTAGTTCTAATCACAGCAATTATGTCCTTAAGTTTTTCCCATTTCCAATCCTGATTCTATCCAACAATGTAAATGGAAGAAACTCAGAGGGACCCAATTGAGGCAATTGGAATCCAAGGACCGAAATTCCATGATTCCAATACCCGACAAGGGGACCAAAATTTCATGATTATGATACCTGATAGACTAAATATATATATATATATATATATATATATATATATATATATATATATTTATTTCAAGACTAAAAACAGTCATTTAACAACATCAGCAACTAAAATAACGACCACCTTACTTAAAGGACTAAAAATCACAGTTTTGTAACTTGAGGGACAAATTAAACCCATGTTAGAAATTTGGAAACTAATTTGATCATTTGATATATTAACACTTGATCTTCAGGAACAAGGAATCTCATGACAGTAGCGAACGAGGAAGAAATTACCATGGAAGGAGCCAAGCCTGAGCGTGTTGGATGAAATGAGCTTAGCAGCAACACTGCCCCAGTTGCCACTTCCAATAACAGTGACTTTGGATCTGTGTGAGGCAGCATCATTGACACTGTTCAAGAAGCTGTTGTTATTGGCCACAGTTTGTTGTGCCTCTTCTGGAACTTGGGCTTCCAAGGCTGGAGCCATATGAAAGAGAAGTGAGCAATGCAATGCAAAACAATTATTGGAGAGAAGAAGAAGAAGAAGAAGAATAAAGGGTAAAGGGAAGAGAAAGAGAGTGAATATAAGAAGGGAAAGAAAAGGGTAACGGGGGCGGAGATGGCACACCAATTTCGTGAGAAACTATGTTTCAAAAGTTAAATCTGGCGATCCCTTCTATGTTTGCACTCTGTTGTGTTTGTTTGCTGCTCTGGTAGTGGGGACCACTTTCTGAGTTTATCCATGCAATCATGTTCAAGATTTTATTATTGATTCAGGTGTTTTCATTTTATGTTAGATTCTTCCTAATCACTTGAACTATCCTCATTTTATGTAAATTTTTACATGTTATGTTAGGGATTGATTATGGTTTAAAACCTATTACGAGTTTAGTAATTTTAAGTACTTTTTGTGTTGGATAAAAGAAATTGGTGAATGAATCTCTCAAATAAAATTCTTATATTTATAGATCTATGATACAATTTATTTATTAGTGTCATTACATTAAATTTAACTAATTTCGTATAAGTGATTCAATTTGTCATGATATGTAAATGTTAATGATAATTTTAAAGGACTAAAATAAATTATTTTTCGAAGCTATAAAATTAAATGATGAATTTTAAATTTGAGTAACTAAATAAATTTACTTCAATAATATACAATATAAATTTTTTTAATATAAATCTAAAATATAACTTAAATATTTGAACATATCTATTTATTCCAATTTTAAATATAATTTATATATTCAAATGTAGTATTTATATTTATATATATATATATAATTTGTTTTAATTTTTAGTTATATGTAATAAACATACATAAATTAAAATATTAGTTAATGTATAAATGGAAAGTAGGGTGTTTAAGAAAAGTGATAAGAGTTAAAAAAAAAAAAAAGACAAAAGGAAGTTTTAAAAAAACAATTATCATCTGTATAAACAACATAAATAATCAAAATTTTAACCAAGAATATTAAAAGAATTGTATAAATAATATATATAATCAAAATTTTAAGCAAAAGTATTAAAAGAAGAGTATTAAGTGATAAAAAAAAGTGTATTAGAGTTTGTTGATATCTAAATCGTTGCTTATCATTATCATTACATCGAGGATTCTATCACCTAAATTTGCATCTATATAGGGTATGGTTCAAGATTTATTGCCAAGGACAATAATTGAATTTGAGAATTAATTATTTTGAAATTGAATCCCATTAATCTGCTATATTTTCTTATTTGTGGTTAACATTGGCCAATAAGATCGTTAAAATAGGCCAACATTGCCAAGCCAACCGATTAATTGTGTAATAATGTAATTTAGTTGTGCAAGTCTTAGATCGAGTAATTGAGAGTAGATATCAATAAAGTTCTCTCGCGATTAATAACTTAACAACCTACTAGTGATTATTGTAATAGAATGATGATATAGGTTGAATTCGGTGCATGTCAATCTATTAATTTTTTGGTGAGCTGAGTTTGCTAATTAAACTCACTAATTTGCCTAATTAGTCTAGCTCATTTATTAACTCATTGAGTTAAACTTGTTAACTTGATGGGCTAACTCGTTAATTAGTGGGTCAACTCGTTAAATCATTTTTTTTGTTTCTTACTCTAAAAAGATAAATTTGTAGTTAATATATATTGGATAAATAATTTTATTTTATAACTTAAATTTTATTTCTGGGTAATTATTCTCATTTTATATGAAATAAAAATATATTGTTTAAATCACATTTTTTTACTAGTGCATTTTTATGTATAGTGTCTTCTTTTAATAAAAATACATTACTTTAGCCATAATAGTATATCAACAAGTGAAAGTGAAAGTTAAGTTTTGTAACATCCTATTATTTTTTAAAATAAATAATGAATGAATTAGAATAAATAGAGGTTAGGTCAAAAAATGTATTATGAAAACCTAGAGTGCAAATAGGAAGAGACCTAAAAGAGAACACTAGGGGAGGCATAGACTAGTGATAGAAGCCACCGTAGAAGCATCGTTCCACGAGAATCATCACTCTAGGTAAAGGGAGTGAAATTATCGAGTCCTTAAGCATATATAAAAGATAAGGGTAGAAAAGTGACCCCTAAACCCCTTAGGTTGTCTGTTTAATGGGGATTCTTTAAGTACATTATTTATTGAGAATGTATTGTTGTTTTATGGTAAGGTTCTTATGCATTTTGAATTAATCAAATTGATATTGAGTTTGTGTATTTTGAGGATTAGGGTTAATATGTGTGAATTTTGAAGGTTTTGGATTGAAATATGTTAATCTGAGGATATAGTAATGATGAATTGAAATAATTGATGTGTTTGTATGGAAGTTTGAGAAAATGATAATTATTCAAATAATTATTTTGTATGTTTTAAAGAAAAATTGAGAACTCGAGAGGGGATACTAAGACTAAGAATTAAGAGAAGTGATTGATAAATAGTATTGTGAAAATTGTATATGTGTTATCAATGTTGTTTGAAGAATATATTTGTTTTGTAGGATAGTGTGAGTCTATGTAGGTGGGATATCATAGGTCATCTACATGTGCCCCGGGTGGTGTTATGGTGGGGGAACCTCTAACAGGAATGGGAGGCTACCATGGCCAGCTATAACATTTTGACAACACCTTGATAGACATTTCCTAGTTAAGGTGGTTCGAGGATCACTATTGATGGGTGATCCCTACACTATTCAATCGAGTGGTCACATTCCATTACTTTGAGGCTATTCTATATACTCAAATGATGACGAGGAGATTGGTACCATATGCATATAGAGTTAGGAGCATGCATTAATAAGTGTTAATTTGTTGTTATGTTGTATTTTGAGGTGGATTGATAGTGATGGATGAAGATATATTAATTGTTATTGCTATCTTATATGAGGTTAACTATGGTATGTGACCTTTAGTTATTATTTATCTGTGACTCCATCCTTATATCTTATACATGTTGTTTATGAATGAGATGTATTCTCACTCCTTATGTTTATGTTGCTTGTGTTTGGGCTGATTATGTGATGTCCAAAATCATTAGTAATATATTTATATTTTTAACATTTAATTTATTAAAATATTAATTCTGGTGAAAATATAATCAATAATAAATTTTTTGAAAAACATGTATAAATGCAATGATATTTAAATAAGTGTATATTAAAAACATGTAACTAGAATTATTCAATTATGTTTTCCAAAATATTTTGATAGATTGAATCTTTATTGAAGAAATAAGCATAACTAAAAGTGTATGATAATTTAAAAGATATATAACTTTATATGCAAAAACCTAAGGTGAGTCATATCTTTATACATATAAAGTTTGTTAAATACATCCATAACTGTTTTTCAAAAAGAAGTAGAAGTTACAACTCCTTACAAGATATAAGGTATAGACACTAATTACACCACTGGTATTAGCAAACAAAGTGTAGAAAATTGTCCACCCCAAATAAACATCCAAAAAGGAAACCTATACTTAGAGAAATCTACCCAAAATAAGAGGAAGATGGAAAACCCATGGAGACTAATCCTCTCCAAACAAACTATCATAGTACTTTCGATCCTCTGAAGTCATGTCGTCGAGGTCAGAAGTCCCCTTATCAGCATATACTTCAAAACCAATATCTCATTGAAAATTTTGCTGGGTAGGTCTTCCATGAGCATCATGATCAAAGAGTTCCTGAAGAAACCTCAATGCATTTGCAGGTCTCTTCGTGCCATAGTAAACATAGTAGTATCGTACATGATGTATTCTCATACCAGGTGTCCACCCAAAAGGCATCATGTAAGTCATATTCACCTCTATAGTAACTAAGGTTGGGGTTGTTCTCCTAAGGTATTTACTAAGAACTTATAATAACTAAAATATACATGATTTCTAGCTTCATGAGCTTTCTCATAGTTGCAACGAAACTCAACAAGATGAAGGGTCCTTTGAGGTATCACCATCTCCTAAAATATGGGTTGTAAAGGTGAGTTTACCCTATTCTTCATACTCCACAAACACAATAACAAGCATACATTAATACATTTTAAAATAAACAAATACACTATCACTCAACAATCTTTAATGGTTTTATCAATAATTTACTATCAAGTATCATAAAAGGTTCATTAACACATTAATCTATTAACTTGGGTCCAAACACTGCCATCGAAACCCCTTTGTTAATGATGTCTTACACCACATGTAGATAATCGCCAGTTGGTCAACACTCCAGACATATACAATGTCAGTGCATACGACCCCTTGGCTAAAAGTACAGTTTGCATCAATATTAGAAGTGGAACGTGAGGCTTGTGATTTCTAACATGTCAAATGTGTACATCAAATGTCGGTTGAATTCACCACTTTCCAACTTCCCAAAGTCAAAAGACCTGTTTTCATGTACCATAGTGTATCTCTGTAATTATCCACACACCCACCTAATGTTTCCTTATATCAGAACCAAAACTTTATTATTTAATACATGATTCCCCATGCCATAATAATTATTAAACCAATTGAAAGAAAACAATACAAAACATTTCTAGCATACTAGCATTCAAAAGAAACTAAAATACAAGAAAAGCCACACAAACAAATAAACAAACAACATAACAACAGTAAATTCATATATTCCAAACAATTTAGATCAACCAAGCAATGTCCCTGCATTACAATATCATCCTAACCAATATGCCAAAGATTGGACACCCTTGGACTTTGCTAAACCGCACAATCCAATATATTAAACAATTAAATTTGCCCGCTATAGTTAAATTGTCGGAGTTCATACTCTCATAGTCTTATCAATTTGAAAACTATCCTAGGTTCCAAAATAAATACTTCATATCACAATCATAAATTTTATATTATAAAATTATATACATCATGGTTCTTCAAAGTACACAAAGCATAAAAAATTTATAAATTAACCGTTTTATCGATTGATACATATTATTTCAATTCTTCTATTGAAAATAATTAAAATAAACCTTAATACTTTCCCAAAGGTTATCTATGTTCTAAATTCATTTTTAAGGTCAAAATAAAAAATCAAATCATTTTAGAAACCAACTATAGTAAATAAAACAGCAAGTTCATATAAAATGCCAAAACTTGATTATAAGTACTAAATTGCTCATAAATCGGTTTTTTCACAAAATAAATGAGTAAATTTACATTTTCACACTT